TGTGTGTGTGTGTGTGTGTGTGTGTGTGTGTGTGTGTGTGTGTGTGTGTGTGTGTGTGTGTGTGTGATTGAAGCCCACCTCATCAGAGATGGACAGCAGCACTTTGTCCAGCTCCTCCACCAGCTGTTTGAAGGTCGGCCTCTGGGTGGGAACAGCATGCCAGCACTCACGCATCATCATGTAGCTGGGGAAAAAAAACACAGGAAAAAATTATTTCTGCCCTCAATTGAGAAACTTTAAAACAGATGAGGTTGCAAAAGATGTGGAAAAATGTATTTCAGAGATACAGTGGCTGGTTGAAGATTAATTTGCACTTAAAAGCTACTGATTATCCAAACAAACCCTTTTTGAAATAAAGCAAAAAGATCTAGAAATAACTTTCCTTCTGACTAAACACATTTCACGAAGTGGCTTATAGGCCTTATGTAAGACTCTTTTGGCTGGTGTGGATGTGGGCATAAACAGGCATGGCTGCTAACAGTGGAAAATGCAAAGGAAGCGCTCCTGCTTACAGTTCGTGTGTGCAGTTGGAGGGTTTGTCCATTCGATGTCCTTCTTTCAGCAGCTTGAAGAGCTCCTCGACAGGGATGCCGGGGTACGGCGAGCCACCCAACGTGAAGATCTCCCACATCAGGACACCAAACGACCACCTGGGGAGGGGAGAGAATATTAACAATAAGACATATTTATTTTCGTCCACTGTGGTGTAGAGGATGAATTTAGCCTGACGGAGAGCAGTTTAACATATAGCCTCTTTTTTAATTGTTAAAAAAACCCCTGCACATTTTTTGACATCGTACATGACTCACGGGGAAAATCAGAAAGGCAGACTCCTCTACTTGCAATGCAAAAAGAGTTAGTTGCCTTTTTTAGAGTATTAACCTGTGTTTGAAAAAAACTGCATGTACCTGCTACTTTTGGTGTATAAGAGGTTATATTGGTCTTTGTTTTAGAGCACTAGTTTTCCTGCTGCTGAGACTCCGAATTTGAGAAGTTGAACTTACACGTCGCTCTGGTGTGTGTAGACTCTGTCAAACAAGGCCTCTGGTGCCATCCACTTCACCGGCAGCCGTCCCTGCAGAGCGGACATTGAAACGTTAAGAGCCCAGTTTTTTTTGTCTCACTGTAAACATTTCTTTTACACCACACACTCTCACTCCACCTCTCTTCATGCCCCCCCTCACAATCCTCCCCTTTCCTCCATTCCAGTCTCCCCTCTTTACTAATTAAGTCCCATTAAGGCTGCTGCCAATCAGAGGAAAACATCAGACATCTGTCTTGAGGAGTATTAAAGCTTTTAGAGGAGCCAGGCAGGAGGAACCTGGCTAGGGAGCAGACATGTTTACAAGTAGGGTTGGAGAGGACTTCTTTTTTTTTTTTACAAACAACCAGCAATTTCAGAAGGTCAGAGGTTTAAACATTGGATCTTCTACCTGATTTACATTTAAGGCAACAACCATAACTTGGAGCTGAACATTTAGAAGAAGTTATTCAAAAAGGCAAATATTTCCCCTCTCAAATCTGCAATAAGTTGACAACATATTAGTTTTGCAACTGTGGAAAAGTAAAAGAAGGGTGGTAATTTGACAGTCCCACTAGTTAGCGACTGGAAAACATCATTCAACCACTGGAAAGTCAAATTAGTGAAAAGTGATTCCTAAAAATGTGCCACTGTGCAACTGTCACTCACATTGGTGGTTTTCTTGTAGTAGTCGATCTGGTGGACTCCTCTGGCCAGGCCAAAGTCAGCAATCTTCATCACGTTGTCCTCTGTCACCAGAACGTTTCTGGCTGCCAGATCTCTGTGGATGCACTGCGGAGAGAGGAGAGAGGGAATTTAAGAATGACAAAACCCCTGAAAATGAGCTTTAGGCCAACTGCTGGGTCTCCAGATTAGAAGATTAGCATAAAGTTGAAATGGTCCTGGCTAATGTGCTCAGAGATTAAATTGAGAAAATGGGCCAAATGTATTGTTTTCCATTGAGTTTATTGTTTCCTTTCTCCCAGTGGTGTATCTGCTTTCCCAAAGGCATACATTTAAATTTCAGACCATACAAGAACTAAATTTACTTTCCTAAGGTTTTATGTTCTTTTCTATTTGGACGTGTAATATGACATGTTTCTGTCTGCTTCAGGCCATGGTTTGGAGAGACCATGTAAAAACATGAAAGTATGGAAGGTAGGAATTATTCACTGCGAAAGACTCAGGAGACTAAATTCAACACACAGTGCCTCAGTTTATAGAACGCAACAAAATTAAAATGTCTTTATATAGAAACCCCAGAGTTTGAAGAAAAAACAACCATTTGGGAGGGAAAAAAAGAAGTTTGCCCACATTGAATGGATGTCATTAAGTTTATTTTGGTTTTCATTCGAAATAGATGTGGGATTTGTGGGGACGTGCGAAATGAACCAGTCTTGGTTTGTGGGTCTCCCCATAATGGAGGGTTAGTTTCAGGCTTCTGCATTCTTCGGAGGCCATAGAGCCAGAAACCTGATGCCTACACCCAAACGACGGCTCTGCTGCCTGTTTGCTAACAGATTTATGGCAGCGCTAAAAAGGACAAAGCCTGGCAATGGAGGGACAGACAGATGGATGGAGGAGAGTAAACAGGGCTGAAGCTGCAGCAGCTTTCTGTTCAGGAATGCCTGTCTGAGACACCGGCTGGCAGACAAAGAGACATGTTGATAAGAAGCACACAGACACAGTGCATGCTGGGAAAATGAAAGGACCTCAAACACAGGGGGTGGGATAGGAAGAAAGGAACGAAAGGGACAGGCAGAGGCAAAGAGGACAACAAGAGAGATGGGGGAAAGGAAAGAAATGGAGCTGCCATTCCGAACTGTCTGAACCAAGCTCATTCATCTGAAGGCCAAGTGCCCAAATACAAAAACATTGAATCACACAATGGAACTTGATGATAATCACACTGCCCTTCAAGTCAAAACCAAACTTCTGATATTACAGCCCCTTATAAAATCGAGACGTCCACAAATATTGAACATTTTGAAATCCTGCTTTCATTTTGTGGCTGTATTTCCTGCCCGGGGACGTGACCACATTAAATTGTAATGAAAACTGATATGTAAACATCCCCAATGGGGCTAAAAGCTTATAATGGGAAAGTTCCTTAAAAGCACCCCAATCCATAAATCCACCATCTGGCTTGCACTAAAAGTTAACAATTATAATTTCTGTTTATATTAGAAGTTATATGTGGAGCCATGCAGTCATGCAAGTAGTTTCTGCTACACTCTTGTTTACTGATATTCAATTAAAGCAAATCCTTGGCCACAAAGAGCCACTTTACAAACACGACAAACAAGTACAATTAAACAACCAACAGACTCCCATACTCAGACACACTGCAGCTACAACCTCTTCCTCTTTAAAAGTGAACATACCCTTTTAGAGGCCAGGTACTCCATCCCTCTGGCCACCTGGTAGGCACACGACAGAAGGTCTTTGAAGGTGAGCTGCTCCTCAGGCACTTTGGTCACATCAAAGGTGTAGTCCATGCCTGGAGGTCGCCGGGCCCGCAGGTACTCCCTCAGACTACCTTTGGAGGCATACTCCACCAGCACGTACAGAGGGCCTGAGGGTAGAACACAAGCAGAATGGATGGAGTTGTTACTATTGTTGGCTTAGCCTCGTGGGTTGGGACCACCATAGTTGAAACACTGACTAGATTATGCGTGTTTAGGTGTGTTTAGATTGACAATAACAATGGAGCAAGATAATGGAAAGGCATTGTTTTCTGGCTAAAATAAGGGTGTGTGTGTGATGTAATTTGCGTCAACAAGGGAGGTGCTGTCCTTTTATTATTGCTCTAAACATCGACTCAAGAGCCAAGAAGATCAGTTTTGTTTGAGGAAGAAAACAAATACCTTTTAATTTAAAGGTATGCAAGGATGAGAAAGCTTTTAGTCACATATCAGACACTCACCATCCTGTGTACAGACTCCCAACAGGTTGATGATGTTCTTGTGTTTGTCCATCACCTTCATCAGCTCCATCTCCGAGATGAGATCTGCCAGATCTTTGTCTGTAGCATCATCTGAGGGAAACATTTCCATTTAAACAACCGTGACTTTTTCACTGAAAGCAGACCTTAGCTAATCTTTGAGATTTTATTGTTGTAGTGGCTGTATCATTTAATTCCTACCTTTGAGCATCTTAACTGCCACAGTGGTGGCCTGGTCTGTGCAGTCCTTGTTGATACCATACGCCTCAGCTCTGACCACCTGACCAAAGCAGCCTTCTCCTAGAGGTTTGCCCAACGTTAAACTAGAGAGAGGAAGATTGAGTGTTAGTGAAAATAAGTATATCCAAATGAAAACTGTACAAATCCATAATTTGGGGCTCTGGTTTCTTAAAACATGGGTTGGGCAGAGCCAAAAATGGGCTGCGGACTTGTTTCTTTTTAGGTCCCCGCATGCTGCGAGACTTCTATGTTTAAATTAGTCTGTATCCCAGCAGCCACGCTAAATTTAGTGACCCTATGTCTCTCTTTGAAATAGGCCATCTTAAATCTTTTTCATACTAAATTAAATTCAAGAGTAGGTGTTAATTCAATTTCCCAAAAATATTAGCTACATCTTACTTCTCTCTGGGGAATTCCCAGTCTGGGTCGTAAGGCAACTCAAACTCCATTACTCCAGCCAACATGGGAGAGCAGCTAGACGAAAGGCGAGCCACTCTCATCAGAGACGCACTGGACTTCCCTGACGAGTTGGACTCAACAGAATACTGAAAGAGGAGATGCAGAAAAGGATAATTAAGTTAGCAACAAGTAACATACAGGAATGTTTCAAGTTTTGAAATTTGAACAGCCATTGATCCTATTGAAAACTGCAAGCTATTTATACTTGCTTTGTAAGAACATTCAAATGTACGCTGACCTCATGTCATCGAAAATTTACCAAAGCATTTGTTACAGAACAAACTTAATTTATACTTAATAAATACTTAATTTCCCAAGATGCACAGGGCCTCATACCTGTCTGCGAAGAGGGAACTTGGAGAGCTTCTGGACAGGAAGAGCATCAAAAGGCTCCCTTCTGGGGTGGACCTGCATTCGACACAACACCACAATGACGATGGCCATGATCAGAGCCAGGAAACCACAGGCGTAGATGATGATGTCTGTGTACTTGGTCTCAATGATGTCCAAGGCATCAGCTGCTTCCTCCTCTGTAGAAAGTTTAAAAAAAAATTCTTTAGACATTAATGTTCAAGGTTTGATGACATAACAACAGGGCATGCTTGCATGTCCTTTACCTGAGAGGACGGTCAGCCAAGCAGACTGATGGGCGAAACCAATTGAATTTCCAGCCAGACAGGTGTACTCTCCTGCATCCTCCATGGTAACTTTGGACAGGTAGAGGACCTCCACTTCTGACATGTTCAGACTGCCAGTCTTCATAACACATGAGCAGGAAAATGACATAAAAATAAGTTAACAACAATTATTGCAATTCAATGTCTTCCCAGTCCTCCCTTTTCTTCTTTTTAAAAAACAGATGCAAATGTTTCATCATTTTTAAGAAACTCATTTCAAAGCAGTGTATGTACTTGTGTATGTTCAAAACACCTGATGTTCAAAACACCTGATGTACAACACTAACCTTGAGAACTTGAACATAAGGGGTCCCGTCCACACCATAGCGGCTGCCATTTCTTTCAATGTGTTTGAGCCACTGGATATGAGGTTGGGCGTCACTGTAGACCTTGCAGTGGAACTGGACGTCACTGCCCACCACTACCGTAGTGTTGGCTGGGAGACCAGCCTGCAGGATGGGCCTGTGGGGGGAGCGCTCTGTGTGGGAACATATCAGAGAAGACATCAGTAAGGAGACTCTAGAGAAAGCAATCAGAGCTGAAATGATTCCCATTCTTCTCAGAGCAACATTTCCAAGGTGATGCGGAATCATGGAGACAGATTTCTGATTTGCCGAGCCTGGTTCAACTCTGCAAGTCTCAGAAAAACCTCTCACACCAAGAGTCTGTGTAGGCAGGACAGCCTGGAATCATACCGAACTCTGACTAAAACATCCAGATATTTGACCATGTCAATCAAATGTCTAAAAATGGCCAGCAGTCGCCACTTTCACCTATAATGTGTTTGTATGCAGGCAAAAGAGCGTAAATGTCATTTTGGGATGGAAATTGTTTCCATTAGTGTGGCTCTTTGTCAGCTGGTTGCCGGGGTCTCTTTGATCTGCAGCTACTCTCGCTCTCTGATCTCGTTAGTTGTCTCGTTAGTCCTCTCCCCCCGTCGACGAGGACAGAAACTGACCCCGTGCTGGACAGGCAGCGGACAAATGAACAAATAAACTGCAGTCCTTGATCTGCTGTGACAGGTCAGGTAGAAAACTGGTGTGGACGCCCGACTGTCCACATCCTGCCCGGCAGGGAGGACGCCAGGCGCCACTGTCACCTTCTGCTCACCCCTCTGGTTCTCACCTCCCTCAGACAGGAGGCTTTTATTTGAAGCTGATTAATAACTAATAATTGTTGCTATTGCTACCATAAATATTGTCTGCTGATCTCAAAGCATTGCAATTTAGGTTTAAAGAATAATTGTTGCTTAAGCATTAGTAGGTAACACTGTCCCAAAGTATTGTTCAAGAGACACAAAGACATAAACAGATTGACATCATCATGTCTTACCCAGGACATCAAGGACGTAGCTGTGAGAGATGGAGCCGTATTTGTTCTCCACCACACAGGTGTAGTTTCCTCTGTCTGAAGGAACAACGCTCTCCATCACCAGGCTCCAGTGCTGGTGTCTCAGCTACCCAAAGAAAAAACAAAGACGATTGGATTAGATAGAAACTTGGAGAACGATGAAGCATAAATAGAAGTTGAGCAAACAATCATCACACTCTGTAATCGTTCTAACCTTAATGCCCCCAATGCGATGCTCTCCTCTGAATTCACGTCCATTTTTTAGCCAGCGAATGTTTGGCATGGGACTTCCCATGGCTGGGCAACGGAACTTCACTGTGTTGCCTGCGGGAACGGCGTACAGCTTCTTCTCCATACGCTGGGTGTGGGTCCAATAAGGACCTGAATGAACAAAGACCAGCCATTGAGCCGTCAGAATGTTCTAATGAAGTCTGAACATTGAGTTGTACTAATTCCTAAAGGACTACAGCTACTAAGCAAACAAGCAACTCACCTCTGGAAAAGTAAACCTGATCATTTTCGATCTCAGCTGATGAGTCCTCCAAGCCGTTGTCCTCGTCGTCGTCTCCTGACCCCAATGAGTCTGGACACATGAAAAATAATGTCAGAATGATGAGAGACAAAAAGACAGAACTAACCCAACCATGTCTTATCCCTAATCTAACCCTGCCAGTTTGTTCCAACTCACCCCCAACCCATATTGGCACCAAGTTAAGACAACATTGAGATCATTTGCTTTTCAAAACACAACACAATGCAGTACACCACAGTATCAGTGTCTTCACCTGTAACAGTGATGGTGAAGTTTCTCACTGGCTCTTTGGTTCCACGGAGAACACAAACATAAACTCCTGAATCCTCGTATGTTACATCGGTTATCTCCATGATGATGCCGCGGATCTGGATCCGGGGTGTAGACAGAACACGGACTCCCTCCTTGTACCAGTTAACTGCCATGCCAGGCCGGCTGCTCATGTCACAGTGCAGCTTCAACACGTTTCCCGGCTCCAAAAGAAGATGCTCTGTGGTGTCCTCGCTCAGCTCCTCGAGAACATCTGTTGAGACCAAAAATCAAACCCTCTTACTTTGATATTCATGATGTGTACTTTACTTCTTATTGTTTCAACGTATCATCAACCTTCTATTTCTTTTGGTCTCCTGCTTATATCACCACAAAGAGAAAACCAGCCAACAAGTAATTTCTTCATCTCCTTTTAGAAGCATAGCCACCCCCTCAACTATGACCTTCAACTCCTCAGCCCCATTACCTCCCATCCCCACACGCACACACAATGAAATTACCATGGAGATCAGGGAGGTCTAACTGACCCAGTCCTCCACCACACAAACCCCCCCTCTTCTTTTTGTTCCTCTGTGGATTATTGTGAGACTGAGAGCAATCTAGCTAACGTCACAAACTCGAAAAAAAGAAGAAAAGAAGCGAGGATGAAGAGAAACTGAGGCTAATGAACATGTTTCAGCATGACAGTGGACGGAGCGTGGATCTGAGGGGTGGTGAAGGTTCACTGGAGATCTAAGTGAGCAGAGGGAGGGAAGACGATCGTTCGAGCCCGGAGAGGAGGACACTGGTGATTGAGCTGGCACAGATGGCCGCCATACTACCCTCAACAGTCAGTCCTCTCTTTTGAGGGTTTTACAAACTAGTTTTTTTTAACTTTACGGACACCAAAATGGATTAACTGTCAACCATTCCCTTCATTTCAATCAGTGAGAAAGATTGTAAATGTCATAACTACACTAAGAAACATGTAGCTTTGACTAAATGAAGGTTTTAATGTTAAGCTTTTGTTAAAACTGTGTTAAAGAAGTGTTGATTACACTTTAAGACAATTTTGGAGGATATGTTGAGATGTATCGAGATTTGACAAAATAATAGGAACAACTGTCGACGTAACACACTGGTGTTCATCCCTAACCCTACCACAGAGAACACCCCCGCAAATATCTTACAATGCTTAATATTATAACCTTCATGAAGGTGGGATTTATTGCAGGACTGTTCAATGAGAATCAAAAAATGTTTTCTATGTGTTGAAAAATGTACCATCAACTGAGTGTATATTTGCAACATTTTTAGACTCTTCATATTAGAAAGTAGATTAACCTTGGGGGATTTCAGCAGCAGCGAGGTCCTCCGTTCGGGGAATGATGGTGCCTGCAGAAGAGAACAGTTGAGGTTAGAAAACTATGCTCTATGATGAATGCCCTATTGTGCTGCTTTGGGGAACTTGAGATGAACCTGTCCAGCCATTGTCACAATTATAGAAACTAGTAATTTATGTGTCTCACCAGGCAGGACGTCCAGCCACGCCGACTGCATGGCCTGTACTGTCTCTCCTGCATGGATGCTCTCAGCCATGCAGACGTACTCTCCTGCATCCTCCACAGTGATGTTGAACAGATGCAGGGTGTACACCTTGGATGCATTGCTCTGCAGGGCCTGCGTGGAAGAGAGATTATTTAAACAACTTTTTAATATGAGGATAACAGAATCAAAATACAGTCCAAGTAGAACATATACAACTGTAGATGTTTGTGGAATATGTCAGCTTCTTACAGTCAGAGCTCTGACATGTGGTGGTCCTCCCTGATTTCGTCCAGGGGCACTGACATCCGTCTTCAACCACTGCACCTTGGTGGATGTCGGCCTGTGGACTTTGCACACCAGCTTTGCCTGACCACCCACCACCGCTGTTGTGTTTTCTGGATAACCTGGCACTATCAGAGGCCTGGAGATCCGCAGAACTGGAGAACCAAGAGGAGGAGAGACAAAACAGAAAAAGATAGAAAATTATTTATTTATTTTTCACCTTATTGTGAATTGTTTTGTATTGTATGATTTTCACTTTGAATTTGGTGATTTTTTTTTATGACTTATTATTTGTGTAGAGTCCTACAGTTATTTCACAGAATAACAGAATCTAGAGCCTTAATTATGTGTTACAAGCCCCCTTGGTCTGAAAGTTCCCCAAGTGAACAAGACGAAAATTGTCAAAACACAATCAGCCAGTTTCAGTTTACCTCTGAAAGGTTTGGCATCAGAACACCATGTTCCTAAACAACCGCTGTCATTTAATACTATCAGGAACTGGAGATAGAGAGCAGCGATAACCCGGCTCCTATCGTGTCACCATCAGCCACAGTGCTATCCATTCAGTGGGTCACTTGTCCATTTGTGTGCTTGCCCGCTCACTTGTAGGAGCATATGCCCGCCCTGGCCAGGGACCTCGCTTACTGCTCAGTCACTCAGAACGAGCAATTTTCCAGGGCAATTTTCTGTCTGATTGCTTCCTGCAAGTGCTTAGTGAAAAGGCAATCTGTTCCCTTGTTGGAATGAAGTGCTGCCTTTTTCCCCAATCGCCCAGAGTACACATAGAGGCGACACTTTCAGGAACAAGTACTCAGCTACAACCTCGTGAATTAAAATCATAAATCTATGATTGGTCAAAGCAGCCAAAAGAAGAGTGGACTGATGGTAAAAGTCTTGATGGTGAGTTATAATGTGAGCGCACAATCTGTTTTGTTTGAGAAACTGTCTTGTGGGTTCATTATATTAAATACATGAGACCCAAGCCACTTGTTTCCCTCTAATGGAGCAAACTTGAACACAGTAGAACCAGTAATCAACAGTAAATCACACACACACACACACACTCACACTTGCAGCCATGCTAATGAACTAGCAGAGACAGGGATGGTGCCCTGCAGTTGAACTTGCGGCAGAGTGTGAATTGTCACCGAGAGGCGAGGGGGCAAACAAAACACAACATAACACAAACAAACCGCTCCGCTGGTGCGAGCCAGGCAGTCACCCAGCCGGCTGGGCTGGCAGCGGAGCCATTAGTGGAAACCAGTTGGGACAATGAGGAGGCATTCATGCCCCGAGCCAGCAGAGCCCAATAATGTACTTCATACCAAATTATTACCAGGAGATCTTCCTGTCTTGTTCCAGATTGGCTATTCTTGCTCAGGAATTACAGAAATGACTCCAATCAGGTCAGTTTTTAATTTTGCTTTACAGCTCTCTGGTATTATCTACATCTTAAAGTGTTATGTATGAATATATAAATATACAACACACTCATAATGTGAAGCACTGATAAGGGTGTATAACAGAATTTGGCTAATTTCCTAAAAACTGTGTTGCTCTGAGTGAGATTTACCTTACCAGGTATCCTTTGCACTTTTATATGGTCTGTGTAATTTCTTATATTTAGCTTTGTGGGTTTGTAACATAAAATATAAACATGTTGTGGGCGAAATGTATAATTGTGTTTGGAGAGCTCAGTGGTTTAATTTCACTTCAGCCTTTATCTGATTTGGCAATATGACTGAAACCTGCAACCTCAGTTTACCTGAAGTCGTCTTTGAGGAGGTGGTAGAGTCTCTACTAGCTCTTTCTACTGAAATCAAGGGGGGTTACTGTTTTCTCTCTGATCTCCTCTCAGTCATTATCTTCTCCTTTCAATTTAAGCAACATTTTCTCTGATAATATGTTAATATGATAATATTAACTGAAACTTTGATTTATGGTAGAATTGAATCTCAGCTTGAATCCAAACTTTTCTACTGACACAACAATCTCGACCCATCAGTCCATCCAGGATGCAGTGACAATGGCCTATGCTGACTGAATTTTTAAAAATGCACCATTTGTGCAAAATCTTAAATGAAACTTGCAGCTGTTCAACTGAGCAGAACACTTACAAGGACGTTTGCTTGTGGAGATTGAGGCTTGTTTTTTTAAAAATTTTTTTGCATGATCAAAAAAAACCATCATCTCCTTTAGGGGATTAAAGTTGAGATGATGTCTCCACTGGTGGAATCTTCATGTTTTACGACCAACATATCACTGTGTTATCAGTCCCACTTTGACTCTTTACTTTAAATTAACCTGCAAGGTGTTTCCTACACATTATGGTCTGCAGTGCAAGCCCCAGCTGGCCCTGCTTGGCAGCACAGTACAAAGTGGGGCCACCAAGAAGGAAAGGAGGCAACTTCTGAGGCAGACGCCTCGGGACGACAATCCAGTTTGTCTTTAATCAAACCGCACACAGGTTTCAAAAATGCTTTCCTATTAATCTGACTTACACAACAAGATCCCTCATTGCAAAATGATCTAAATCGTATATTATGTTATACACTTAGACCTCCGGTACACTCAATAAAAACATTTTGATGGAATTTTAAACTGACGACTGATTTATTGCATCAACGTCTTTTTGAAAAGCATCAATGAAAGAGCCCCTGTAACGCCCCCACCCCTCTTCATCGTCTACAGCTGGCACACAGCCAGGCAGATTTACACTTCCGAGCCTCAGGGCCTCGGATGGATCAGGTAGCACAGTTTACAGCAGCAAAAACACTGAGAGCCCTTTTTCCTCCCCCCTTCACTCCTTCCAAGACACAGCTTCAGCCTCCCTGTCATTTTTGCTGTCACCTGGACTTCCTCTGGGATCACGGCTAAAATAAGACCCTCTGAAAAACGAAAGTTGAACATTTGAAACCTTCACAGAAACATTCAAGTGCTGACACACAGAAACAGCCTTTTTTTCCTGCGTTGAACTTTTCTCTCTAAAGCAAATGTTGGCAAAGGAAGAAGTGATGCAACCAGATTTCTACAACCCTCCAAAGATAAGATGAGAGGAACTGTCTGTAAACCTGATAATACCTCGAAAATGTTATGATTTCAGCAGCTGAGATGTTATTTTAAAGTTTCAGTAAGATGTGGTTTTGTTATCTGCAGAAAAACAAAACTAATCAGGTCTTACCTTTAGTCCTTCTTTCGTCAATGGTCCTGGTCGAGACTTTGTCCATCACACAGAGCAGGAGAACGCAGAACGTGCAGACCCTCTCCATTTTCTGGACGTGCTGTGTGTGTCTTGCGGTTACAAGGTAGAAGTATATGTTGGAAGCCTTGATGGGGCCTCACACTCCAGTCCCTGGCATTGGCAAACTCAGAAACCCACAAAGTCTCTAAATCTGGATCCTGTGAGGGCAAACAAACACACGGCAGACAGCTGATCAGAAACTTGATTCCTGCAGCTTAAGACACAAATTTTTTTGTTCACTTTTGAACCAGGTGGAGAGAAAAAAAACACAAACAATTGTTGGGGCAGATAGTTAAAGACAGAGCCTGTTTTGACTGTGAGCAGCTGTATTCTTAACCAGATGTCCTTGCTAACTGTCCCGTCGACCTCACATTGTCCAGGCCCTCCTGCGTCATGAATAAGGAGCAGGGCTGTTACCGCCTGTTGTTTGTCAATGGATGGTGCTCAGTCTGTCCCGGGATAATGGGCCCTTACTAGAAAAACACTCGAAACCTGCCAGGAAGCTGCAGAATCTGAAGGAGCAGTGGAGATTCGACTGCACGGCAGCTGATGAGACTTCAGGAGGTGGAAGTACAAAACAGGCCTCAACATTGATGAAAATATTTGACTGTTCACTGGAGCAAAAATAGGACTATAATGTACTTAGAGCTGCATCTTAACACTTTCTGCATCTTAGCAATTTTGTTTTGGATGGTGAGAGTGGAAACTTTCAATTTGAGCATTTAGTGCCTGAGAAAGACTCTAAACTTCACTGTCGTCTCAAGCAGGGGCATATTTAGTCATTTGACTTGGTATGACACCCATCAACTATTTGGTCAATAAAACGTCAGAAAAGCGTGAAACTCAAGATGCTTTCTGCAAATGTTTTCTCTGACAAACATATTTTTGGTTCAATATCACAAAACATTAAGAAAAGCAGCAACCGTTCTCAATTTTGAAATTGGAACTATATAATTATATTTTGCATCATTGCTTGAAAATGGCTCAAATATCTACTGAATACTTTTTGATTCAATTACTAAACGATGAATCAACTGATGTTTTATCCGCACTGCCTATTTCCTAGATTGATATTAAAGAACTTCACCGAAATAAAGTCAATAAACAACTTACAATGTCCAAAATGTGCATTTAAAGTTTTATATCGTTAGCATATATATTTAATGAAAAAATATTGTAGTTATTAAGATATTATTAAAGATGTATCTAAGAATCAAATTGTCTCTACAAACTCGTTCATTCTGCAGGAAAACTATAAACTGTGACACGAAAGGAATAATGCAGTGATTTTTGTGCTGTGGCGAGTCGGGCCAACTGCACACAGGCGCCAGACCCTGGTGCGTGCGCTCCATGCATGCAGGCCGCGCCCACACACACACGCACACGCACACACACACCGTTTAAAGAACCAGCTTGCTGAATGAAACGTATTCTTTCTCAATTAAGGGACTGGAAAACTTTTTTCTCCTGCTGCTGCTAATTCCGCTGGCACGCTGCCGGCTGCACTCTGCTGTGTTCAGCTGGAGCCAAAACACTTCCACTGTATTCTACTCTTCATTACCCCCAAAACTATTTCTGGACAGAAGGGCGTCACTGTGTGGACTTTTGTAAAAATAATGTTTGATGTATGCTACTGCACATTTCTGTCACATAAATCACAGTCAATAAATCAGCCACGAATGCGCTAATCTCTTGAGGGTTTAATGCACCTATAACAAGTCAGACCTGTCACCGTGTGTGTTTTATAGGTACAGTGACCGGCACGTGTGTCCCGTCGTCTGTCAGTCAATTTATCAGAGTATAGTCTGACACATCCTGAGATCAATAAACTCTAGAAGCTTCCAATTTACTCCACATCACTCCAGTTTACCTCTGGACAGGGACCTGATCCAAGAGGGGTCTCTGTCATTGTATCACTGTTATGTGAGTGAAGACGAACGAAATCAATGACATCAGTGTCTTTATTTTTGCTTAATAGAGTCTGTGGTTCCACAAAGTTCAAACTCCGCTCTGACAAATATTCCAAGTGGAAGGTTCAATGTCTAATAAGTGAGTTGTTTGGCTCTGCGCAATGCAAAACACAAACTTCGCCATAAATCAAAACCAGTCCCGAAAACTGCATTGCAATTGTACAAAAAGTGGATTCATTCAGTAATTTGATATTTGTTTCTGGGTCAAGCTATGGGGTACCTTATCCAGCTTTATTTAAATAAATGTCTAGAAAATTACTTAAAATCAAGATAAAGTACTAAACCCCTGAATGACACCAATTGAAGCCTGGAAACAAAGTTTCTTAAGTGACTTTTCAAGTTGTAATCTAACCCTCACTTCACCACAGCCGCCGAAAATGAATGAAACAACTCTCCAGGAATCTCCAGCTGTCACCGTCTGTTTTCACCCACCTTTCCTCCTGGTCTGTCCTCGCCGTTGATGACTGGCACCAAGGGGGAATCACTCCTTGTCCCGGTCGATACGCGTCAACACTGAAGTCCTCATTTGGAGCTCTTGTATTCCTGATGTATCCCCCTGTTCAAAGCAGTCTGTGAGCGGGTCTCTGCTGTTTAGTATCCGGTTGAACACGGAGGTGAGCTTATACATCCATCAAAACCACAGCAGCAGCACCCTCGTGGAACATGAGCGACAGCTGGTTCTCTTGGTGACCGGCGGAAAGAGCTGTGATCCCCGGGGGCAAAGTCCACTGCAGCCGCGGTCGCTCAGAGCACTAAATCCATGGAGAGCGAACAAGGAGCGAGAAAGCAGAATTACGCATGTGAAAACCCGCTCTTTCTCTGCTCTGGCGATGTTTTATAAAAACAGATCCGATGGTGAGAGAAAGAGAGAAAGAGCCTGATAGGATGGTAAAACGCGCCCTCAGTTTTGAGTCCCTCCTCGATTACACTGCAGCACCGTCTTGGATAAAACTCTTCGTGCGTCTTTACGCATCAGAGCGCTCCTGTGAGTTCCCTTCCCGGAGAGTTTGTCCCGGTGAGATCTGAGCTGTGGTGCTGAAATGTGGAGCTCAGCCTCCTCAGTCAGTCTCCTTTCAAACAGCAGAGAGGGGAGCGAGTGAGCGCGTCATGCACGAGCAGCCCTCCAACAGCACTCTGCTGCTCTCCAGACGACAGCCACAACAACAATGGTGTGAGAGCGGCTAGGGGAGCAGGAGGAGGAAGGAGGGAGGAGGGACAGAGAGAGAAAGGGGGAGAGGGAGAGGGAGAGAGAGAGGGGAGGGGTACGCTTCTGTTACCCCAACACAAAACACCCCCTCCCCATCTCTCCAAAGAGCTGGCATATAAAACCCAAGACCCCCTGCCTCTCCCTCCTCTCCACAGCGACACAGCTCAAGTTGAAATCAGTGGTTACTTCACTTTAATTTTGTTGTAACCATACTCTATGTTGATTTGTGTTTGTCTCCCGCTGAGAGCCGCGTGCCAAAGACAGCCACACAAACCCAAGATTTTTAGTTTTATGACGACTCATGATTTATTGCGGGTTAATTGTCCTCTCTGCAAACAAGAAGGCGCCTTCAATTAAGTTGCTGTTAGTGAGTGAATGTGTGTGAATTGCCTCCGTGTTTTAATTGCATCAGCAAAAGAACAGGAGCGATAATCTCATTATAGCTGCAGCGGCACAGAATCAAGATCAGCTCGGTTTTATCAGTTCAAGTGAGCCCATATGTCAGTCCTCATGTTTAGGAGCTCAATAACACAGGAGCTGTGTATTAATTTATCAAGGAAAAAGGGAGGTTTTAGTTGTAAGCGTTGCACAAGCATGAGATCAGGGAATATAAAGAAAACACCCGATGACGTTAAAGGATAGGAACACACTCACCAACTCATTAACTTTGTTAATACATCACTGTCACACTTACAACAATGCACAAAACATCTCTGTCCTTTTCTCACTGAAGTTATAAAAGCTGTGTTCTTCTGCTTGGATGGACTTTGTTAATGCAGAGTTACTCAGTCACATATCATCCAGAGGTTATAAAGATATAAAGACAGAAGAAAACATAATTCTTCTCTTCCACAGCCTGACGTTTTAGCTTTGATTCTATATCTGTTTTCAGGCATGCTCTGAAGTCTGGAACTGTCCCTGATGTTTTTCCAGAGGGACTGTATTTTAGATTGGCTGCTCTGGACATATTCTGCACATTTTTCTGTAAATAGGCGGGAAAATGTCCGTATGAGCTCATGCAAGAATACGGCAGAAAATGTCCGGAGTGAGCTAGTGGGCGTGTTGATGATGTTTCTTACATTTAATGGATGTAAAGTGAAAAAAACAAAAGGAATACAAATATTCCATGTAAGAAAAAGACTGTGATGAAGATGTTAAACTGGAAAGACGAAGATATTCAAGAACTTTTGGCAATGAGGGCCAATGTGCTGTAAACAAACACACACGATCTATCCAGGTGCCACTCCTCACCTGAACGATCCGCACAGTTTCCAGTTTTTGTGAACACGTCTGACCTCCTACAATGTCCTGCTGTGTTCTTCATATGTTAAAGTCAACTCCAGAAAATTTCAACACCCAATATATTGGAGATTGTCCAGAGTTCATGTATGAAAACAGCTTCTGGTATTACAGGTAACATCTGTCAAGGGTCCATTCAGAGGATAATTGTGTCTCTGCAGCCAAGACAAGCCTCACTTTTAGTGAAGGATATTGTTAATGCTCCATTATGCACTGATATTTTAGACAGTGGTGCACTGTTTTAAGATGATAGTGCACAAAGTTGAGACATGAGTTTGGAAAACTTGACAGACCTCAACAACATCAACAGCCTTATGGCACAGTGGCTGTGAGTCAGGCACGTATCACACTTAAAAATGCTCGTAGGAGCAAATACTTGTTACTGTTTTTCCAGAAATCTGGTCGAGAGCATTCCCTGAAAAGTGGTGGTTGTTATAGCGGAGGGTATGAGAAATGGGTGTTTTTCTTCCCTGCTGTGTAGTTTTATTATGAAGAGAGACAGGAAGTGTTAGGGATCACAAGCTACAAAGGTCCTCAACAGGATTCAAACACGGTTACATGATACCTGCTTTAGTCAAGTGAGCCTCCAGGATGCTCTGGGAAATGTTTGAGTAAAGCTTTGCCTGCTGCCAAATAAAAGCTCCAAATAAATCTCAAATGAGGAAAAAGACGTTGCACACTCGGTTTATTTTTATCTGTGGGTCAAACTCCTCATGTGGCTGCAGTATGAGGCCTCTTAGCTGCAATTTATGTGTTGAAATAATTTCCAGATTTGACCTCTGACACTGAGCTGTGCTACCTCAGGTCAGACGGACCTTTACAGCGAAAGTCAAAGTACACAAATAAACCAGGTAGAGTGGAAGTCATAAAGTAGATAAGAGCTGTGCTAAAGCCAGCTGTGCTTAAGCCAGCTGTGCTAAAGCGCGCGTGTGTGTCAATATGGCAGGAAGGTGATTAATGATTAATTTGATGTTACTCTCAAAGTTTGCACTGAATTGTCAGAGAATAATCAGGTGTGTGTGTGTGTGTGTGTGTGTGTGTGTGTGTGTGTGTGTGTGTGTGTGTGTGTGTGTGTGTGTGTGTGGTTTTTTTTTTGAGTGTGAACGATTTAGGCCAATGACTTCCCACCTGTGTCTCATTAGCACAACAACAAGGTTCAATAACATTAACGCCACTGTCCCCTCCCAAAACACAAGTAACTTACATTAAACTCTGTCGACACACACACACATATATACACACACACACAATTTTTAAACAAGGTGTAACCATAGCAACACTGTAGGGTAAAATCATTATTCATTTTGATGAGTCTAAAAAGCAATATTGGTAGTTTGGGACAAAATTAGAGACATCAATAAGACTTCATTGCAATAGTGTGCACAAGTCTCCAGTCACATCAATTCAGAATCAAACCATTGCCTGCAACATGTCACTGATCCCTTACATTTGGCTTTTGAGTTTCTGGTTCACCTGTGAAACGAGATATGTGAACCTAGAGCTTCTAATAATCTGAACTTTTTAGAACCTTTAGAGCTTTGGTACCAGTGTCTGCCGCTGTCTGTAGATAAATAAGTTCCATGCATACAGACATGAGTTATTTTAGATTTTTTTTCCTGTGTCATTCCTCAGTTTTATGCACTGCACAAAGTTATGAACACATGTTTTACATTGGATTGAACTTGTGCACTTTTTTTGGCATCTTTTTGTGAGAAAACAGAAAACTATATTTTGTGAAAGTAGTTTTGATGACAGATTTGAACCACACAAATCCAAACATGATTAAAAATATAGAAATATATGGATTCCCTGATGTTACAGAACAATGTAGAAGAGACAGAGAACATTTAGACAAACATGGTTCAATATTTAAGCAATAAAAACAAAAATAAAAATTCAAAGATCACTGTTATATTACACTGCTGATAGAATCAAAATACCTCAACTCGAGATCTCCCCCTTTTCCAGGACCAGACCCTCCATCCCACCTCTTTATCTGATGACATCAGTGATATGGTGGCTCGCTCCCGACCCTCCCAGTGCCCCCAGGTCCAGATAGCATTGATAGCCTGCTGCATACTGATGTTAATGCTAATGGGGAGTACCGAGGCTGGTTGGTGCCTGACAGCTGATAACAGATTGTGGAGGAGAATGGGGTGATATCGGGGTAAATGATAATTGTCGGGGTGAGGTGAAGTTGGGTGTGTGTGTGTGTGTGTGGTGGAGGGAAAGTGAGGTAGAATAAAGGTCAGGAGGAATGTGTGAGGCGTGGCAGGTCGCTCATTAGTCTACTTCACAGCAGGGAGACATTATGAAAACATCAGGTCCTGTTTTCATTTAAATTCGGACTGTTTAGCTGATGCTCCTCTTCAGAAAGACCATGTCAACAAGCGTCTTACATTAAAAGAACTTCTTTTGTTTTAGTCTGCAGCCAGACACGACTCTACTTTGGGATCCTAAAAGCGCAATTTTATTTATCCGACTGTAAAGAGAAGCGAGAGGCCGGTGAGGATTTTAAGAAAACACATATCAGACCACATATCAGATCTTTTGTGAGACAGCTCTGACAATATACTGTCTGTTTGCAATGGAGATAGATGTGTGGACATCTTGTTTTCTTTTCGTTTATAAAATGTTTGAGTCCAGCCCTCACTTGATTTGCAGCTCTGGAAACAGCAATCAGACCACTCGCTAATACTTTGTGACCAGTACATCTCACAGATTAAACACTGTCAGATTAAACACTATGATGAACACAAAGTCTGGTGAACAAGCATTAAAACTCAGTGCAGACTTTATTCCATAATCTGACATTTTGGCACAAGCATGAGCTTAAATATTAAACTACATCACATCATATATATATAAAGATTATGATGCAGCAGGAAGTGCAAGTTAATCTTTGTCAAAAGGACAATTACAGCAAATAAATCTTGTGATCATCTCAGGTATCCTTCAGTCCTACATAGTGAGCTAAATTATTTCTCACTGTAAGATTTGACTGCTGAAATTATTATTTTTTTAACAAATATGTCTACTATGTAGAAAATTATGTCTTTCTGTGCAGTTGTACAGTTCCTACAATCTCTGAATTTAAATATAATATTTAGTATTAAGCATGAGAAATGCAGGATAGTTGTAATTGTGACACTGTGGTCGTTGACTTGAAATGACAAATGTGCCTTTTTGTTTTCTTTCTCTCTTTTTACGATTGTTATTTTTGTTTTGTAATTTACTCCGTGATAACCTGTGCTGAGCTGTTCTGTAGTGAGACAATTTCCCTTTATGTTTTTGTACTGTGAAAGAGTCAATACAACATTTTGAGTTTAAATGTAGGCTACCACACTGAAGAAAAGAAAAGACCAACACCAATAACAGGTATAAAACTAGGAATCTCTCATTGGTGCGTCCTTATTGTGAGTTTCATAGTGAGTCTCATATTAAGTCCTTGTGCCTTAAACATAATAATCATTTTATTTCTAAGCCGATGTATTCAGCTCTTTCCGTTCATCTGTTACCAGAGTGTTAAGTGAATTTAATGGATTTAAACCAGATTTTTAGACGAATGGCGTCTACCTTCAAAAATACACAGGACAGCACGTTAAAGGATTTCTTTCCATTTTTCTTTCCATTTCTTTAGAATTGTACCGTACAGGTCAGCGATGTGAACGTCTGCCCACCCACAACCTAAAGGCAATCGACTCCCATGCCGGTTGGTCACTGAAGCTCCCATTGTTGTGTGTTTGTGTTAATCATTACCTGCGATGTTCGCAACACAATGGGACAAGCTGAGAGTACAGGCTTTGTGATGCAGGGTGAGCGCTGCTGCCAAAACACAGAGCTGAAAGAGCGGTGGAGGGGGAGGGAGGTGGAGGAGGCAGAAAGAAAGGAGCAGAGAGGGCAGGGAGGAGAGTCCCACAGCAAGAGGCCTGCTATTAAAACATGTCATCTGATGTACCGGTGCTCCTGTCAATACAAACTCATGCTGTGCAGCCAAACTTTAGGTCAGGCCTCAGAACTTCATTAAAGAGTTTAGAGGAGATTACAAAGTTTCAACAGATACCAAACACAGTCACAGTGAACATTTGGAGGAGATGTCTTTAAAATGATGCAAAATAAAACATCCTGGTTTGGATATTTCCCTCAGTGTAAACATCCCATACAGGAGCTTTAATGAAGAGCTCGAGCAAGCTTATAAACAATATACTGTCAGCCAGTATGAGTTACAGCCAGAACATGAAGCAAAGTTCTGCTGGGTTTTCTGCACATGCTCTTGAGTTGAGTCTCATTTCAAAATGTTGCTTCGCTTCTTAACACAAAGTTAGTTTGGGTTTTGATCTGTTTTCTGCAGAAAATACAGTTAGAAATGTGGGATTTTGAGTTTTGATCCAAACACCAACCAAGCAAATAACAATTAATTACAGATTAAATAAGAAAAGTAAACTAGTAATTGTTTACAGAAAAAGTTTAAAACGGTATAAAATTAAACTTGATGAATTCCCAGGAGCTTAAAATTAAGGATATAGCTTTACAAGCAACAAACCAATGAAAAACCATACACAGACAACCAATAACTAAAAGTTAGACAGTGTATTGTTAATCTATGCAAATTCAATGTGCAGTTTTCTCATATATGTGATAAAGTAACGTAGAAGATACAATAGGCCTATAAATGGGGATACATATTCATATATATTGGTATGTATGATAAACATTAGTGGCTGATTTGTTCACATAATCGAGAATAAAGTTTTTTTTAAAGGCCTCCTACTCAGGCACATACACAACCCTATTATACAGATTCTGCTTCATTACCAAAACACCCCTCTTATGCCGCCTGCTTGTTTCCTTTGGACCAATCAAGCCGATCACATCCCACAACATGTGACACAGCGGTGGTGTCCTGAACATACTGGCTCTCCATTTCACACCGCCACCGATATGGATCTGCGGAACAAGCAAGGCTCCTCATTCATACCTTCTTATGCAGGACGGCGAGGTGGAGTAAATGCACAATGTTCCGGCCATGATCGGGTTGTGTTAAGGGCCACAGATGCACACACCTACACACACCCAGCTGTTTACATGAAGATGGATATCAATGACAGCCACTATTTTCCCTCCAGCAGGGGAGACCCATTCCCCCCTCACACACACAGAAGGCTGAACCCTGCCTGAACCCTGCTGCTTTAATTAATCTCACTGACTTTGTTAATTATTTGTTTGGCTGGTTGGCTGACTGCCTGTGTGTGTGTGTGTGTGTGTGTGTGTGTGTACCCCCTTTGAAGTATTTGGGACGTATGCCACGGCTGAAACAACCCCACTGGCCCAGCACTGATAACCTCGAGCAGAGGAGGAGGAGGATTCCCTCTCTAATTTTCTCTTCTGTGACGTCACTTTTTCCCGTACTTATCTGCAGAGAAGAATCTCACCTGTTCTGGTTTGTTATTGGGAAAAGCTTTCAAGCTTTTTGTTTTAAGTTTAATTATGTGTTTGGGGCTGAAGTGATTTGTCTCTTGGAACGGGAGACAGTGATCAAGAGCATGTGTATGAATGGACAAGGTCGACATATGTCTTCATGTTGTTAGTGGGAGAAAGTGGGTCTTTCTGATGAGAGTCTGGGCGTAAAACATTAGATATAATTCACAACCCTTGAAATATTAGATATATTCAAATACAGCTTTGGTCTATTTGCAAAGTTTACAGTGTTGTTTGATGGTTAGTGCTGCTCTAATGAGATCTTCTCTTCTGATTTACTAATTGTGTTAAAGTTTACACCTAAGAGAGTTCAACATGCTGGGTGGTCACAACACCATGGAGGTAGACAACATAAATATCATGTGAATAATATGAATCATAGTTGAGGAGCTTGAGGAGTTTATTATCTTTTACATTGGCCTGATGGAGAAGCAAAACAATAATCCAGATTGTCACAAAAAATAACACTGAGTCATCCACTAATACAAATTAATTGATTACTTAAGTAAAACATGTTCTTGATTCTATAATGAAACACCACCAAGGCTACATTCACACTAATCTGCAGTGTTTCCAAAAGTCTCCAGTTTAGGAGCTTGAAAACTCGGATGTGTCGTGATGTTATAATGTGTTAAACAAAAGATGGTGGACTTGATTATATGGTGAGAGGACAAAGCTATTTTTTTCAAAATTGTATTAAAAACCACAACATTTACTCAAACAAATGACATGATTGACAGGGATTGATATAAACTGGCTGATCAGACCATTTGGAAACAATAGGGGGAAGCGAAATAGACAATCACTCAAATTTGATGCAAGGAAACCCCATTCCCCCCATGCTGATGTAACACATGGTCTTGTCCATTTACTGGGTATGTGTATTTTAACAGGCTCCACCCACAGCCTCATCTTTGGCCAAACCAGGAAGGAGGATGGATGCTGGAGACAAGGTAACTCAATTAAGAAGTAAATCAGTGTAACCAAATGTGTGCGCCTCATTCAGAACACAATGTTTACAGAAATAAACAAGATTTTAAAACCGAAAAAGACTTGTTGTGTTTTTTAAATGCAGAGAAAGTAACAAAACCTGTGATGCTGATGTGAGAGTGTGTGGAACCATAAACCTTAACAGACTTATCCATGTAATGTGTGATCAAACACAGTGAGTTTTAATGTCAGATGTGTTTCTGTGGATATGACTATCAAACTCACACACAAATGTACAGCTTCTCTGTCATTCTTCTGTCATCTTTTTGGGTAGAAATGTTTTTTCCAGTGTACATGAACCTGTCACCCTTCACATCCAGGTAAAATCATTTATTAGTATATAACGGTAAAAACAAGAAGCCATGGTTTATTGTGGGAGCATTGTTTTTGTTCTCGTGTGCTGCATTGTTTTTTTCCCTCTTTTGCTCTAAACTGTGATTGTGCACAATGAGGGCCATTTATATAAAGCACAAAATATACTATGAAACAAAAGCTAGTACTAATATACATCTATGTACTCACCTTACGCTTGCAGTGAAGTGTCTGTGATGTATGTTTCCATGCATATAAAGGGATTCCTTGCATGTAGTTTATTCACTTGTGTTGTTTCAGATAGTCGGCCGGCTGGCTACAGAGGGATTACTGTCGTCCAAACGCACTGTGTGATATACCCAGGATGTACGAGCAGAGACATGTTTGGTTAACCTCAACACTGGGGCTTGAGTGAACGCAGACTCCCGGCTGCAGCATTCTGGAGGAAATCCGGTAACGTGTTACATATGGGGGGTATTATTCATGATTACAGTTCAATAAACAGAGAGCGTGGATGGAAACAGATCTGGGGTCTTACTCTTCCTCTTGACCTTGCTTAACTGGAGAATCTTCTGCTTTCTTTCCTGTCTTTTCTTTGTCATCTCTCGCTGGGACAGTCTTGAATTTCTCCATTTCATCTCCCCGATAGCAGCTAAAAATAATGTCACAAGGCTGTTATACAGTAAGAAGTTATTCTTGTCTTTGCATGGGTTGCCACTGGAAGAAACTTGAATATCATCTGTAAAATGTTTTGGCTTCTTTGAGGCTCACAGCTTCACGAAACTAGAACTTCTTCCCTACATGGACAAGTTTTACACTCAACCCTGACATATCCTCACTTTCTAAATTGATAGAGGAAACTTGTTAGCGTCATGATCAGGCTTCCTTCAGTCTTCCTTCCTGCCTGGACTCTTATTATTTCCTGTTTTATTTTGAAGTTGTCTGTCTCTTGTGTCTCATCTTGTTTTATTTTCTACCCTTGTGTGTTTCCTGCTTGAATGATTTCATGCCCTGTCCAGATTAGTTGCACCTGTTCCTAGTTACCCTTTCCTTTCTGTGTTCCTCTCACTCTGGTCAGTTTTCTTCCTGTATTTGTTTCACAGTTTTTCCCCAATGTACCTGCTTCCTGTTTGGAGTTAATTTTGTCTGTTGTTGCCCTTGTCTGCCGGTCGACTCACTTGCCTGTATCCTCTTATGCTAGTATCTGCGCTGTATCTACCATCCTTTGTTTGTGTTTGCACTTGGGTCCAGATATCATTGAACTCTTAAGTCTGTGTTTTACTGGTCAAAAAACCCACAAACGCCCACGAACATCTGGCTTTTCTGCTGTGGGAATTGATACAATCAACATTCCCTGCAGTAGACACAGGTTTTTATTGCTCTCGTTTCGATCGGTAATGATGGAAAAGAGATATCCGGGTGAATGTGCTAATTTGGCAAGACCAAAGATGAGAGAGCCTCAGTTTTTGGTGCGTTTGTGACATCCAATATGAGGCACCCAAGGAAAAAAACTGAAACTTCACTCAACTAACTCTTGAGATGAAACCACATTTTAAAAAACATAGTATAGCTGCTAATTTTGGTTTAAAATTTAGTTGGCAATGAGCAACAGTTATTGGGCCGCATTTTCACTAATTTGTATTTGTGTTGATGTTGACATAATGAATATCCAATAGTCGCTCCTTTAGCTCAGTTTTTTAACTCTGGATTTTTAGCTGTTAAATGCTCCACTATTTTCACTAGCTGTTGTGTTCAACTGCTGTGCTACTAAGCAGGGAGTGCAAAAGTGTTAAAGCAGTTGCTGTGGTGGAAAATGACACTATGGGAGTGAATATAAACAACAAATTACTGGCTGGACAGATAAGCGGTTATCTTAATCTTGCTTTAAAGCTGAGGAAATGAACAGAAAACAAAAATGTGATGTAAGAAGATACTCCATTCCCTCTTTACCTCCCATATTCCCACCCTCACTCCCAGTTTAAGGACATCCTGCTATAAGTGTTCATCATCACTGCAATAAGTCATTTATGCTTTTTCATACCTTAGTTCTCTTCTCATTACCCCCCCTCTCCCACTTCAACAGCAATTTATTGATCTGGGAATTTTAGATTTAAAGGTCCAGTGTGTAAGATTTAGGTGAAAGGGATGTTTAATGTAGAATAATCCTCATGATGTTTTCAATAGTTTGTTTCATCTAAATTGTATGAATTGTACTTTTCTTTACCCCGAAAAGCTCCTTTATATTTAAATACTTTATATTTAAATCGAGGGGACCCTCTCCACGGAGGCCGCCATGTTTTTTAAATTAGTCCAGACTGGACAAACTAAAACCTTTTGAGTTTTTATGACAACTGAAGCTACCACAGGTTCTTTTTTTATGTTTGGAAGGGGAGGGTGAGGTGAGGGGTGTTCAGCTGCAACATGCAATTTCATCACTCAATATCACTAAATTCTACACACTGAATCTTTAAATCTCACAAAATTATTCTGAATAACATAATGTTGTTGCTTATCCATGTTACGTTCTTCTGTCATGTAGTATGTGGATGCAGCCTGAGGCCCCATGTTTGTTTGACAAACGAACTCTTATCCTTTCAGCATCTCAATCTTCCATAGTTACTAAAGTATCACACATCGATATATTTTTTTTCTGCCCATCATTGAGGCCAATATGTTTCCAGCCTTACTTCACCTTCTTCCTCTCATCCCTGGTGCTATCCCTTTTACTCATCCTTCCTGCCATCTTCATCCTCCCCCCTCTTCTCACCTCCTCCCCCTCGAGGAGGCCCCCTCTCCATGGTAGATCTCTTGCAGTAATCCCAGGGATCAGCCACCCACACCCCCCCCCTCATCTGAGCCCTCCTCTCCTTATTAGATCAGGCCCCTGTCAAAAAGCAGGGATTCAGGGCCTCATTGTTTGGCCCCTGATTAAGAGCTTCTCACACTGGAGGATCAGGTCTTTAGAGTGAAGGAGAAGGAGTTGGGTCAAGAAAGAGAGAGGATCTTTCTTTCTTTTTGTCTGGGGGGGTCTTATGAGCCACATTGTTGCAGGGTTCAGAGAGGACTTCTTTTGAAGGTTGGCTGGATTTGAGAGACAATGGGATGTTAGACGATGAGGGATTTAAATCTTAAGCTCATACTTTCAGGGCCCGTGGCCGTCCATTTGTCCAGGAGATGTCCCAGTCCGTCCCCAGATGCTAAGTGAGCTGCTTTGGCAGATGCTGAAGGCAACATCTCAATATAAAGTGATTGATTACATCAAAACATTCCAATACAAACTGATAGATTTCTTTGCCAGAAATGTCGAAACTTTGAGAAAAAGATGTCAAAGGTGGAGAATTGTCTTGTCTTTAAGAACATGTTCTTTCATATCTTTCTATATGAAGTGTAAAAGATAAACATAATAAAACTGAGCTTCTCTCTTTTGCCTTTGTCAGACTAAAACTTTGAGTCTATTGACTCTTCTTAAAGGTTGTAGAGTTAGTGAAAATATCTGTTTGAAATGAACAGTGTGTGAAAGTCCTGTGTTTTATCTACCTACTCTTCCACCTCAATCTCCTTCTCACATGGACTTTATACTTCCTCACCTGAATTTCTTCTTGCTCCCGTCATATTTACTACACCACAAGAGGTCACCTAGCTGTAAAACATAACGTTATCATAATAAACTGCTGATCTAAGTGCTGTTTTTTTCGCAGGAGATCAGTCTTGGTGTTTGATATCGTCTGAAACAATTATTTAGGGAATATTTGGGGATTTAGATTCTGTGGAAAAAAAAGAATAATTAACAAATGACCTTACATCCATTCATCCATCCATTATGTATGCCCATTAAACCCTTTGCAGGGTCACAGGGGGATGGAGCTTATCCCAACATGCTAGACCCCAGACAAGCTGACCGATCATCACATTCACAATTAAATGAAATTTGGCATCTCGTATTAATTTATTAGTGAAGGAGCATTTAACCTGAGATGTAACCTAAAGTAAATGAATTATATTCTTAAATAATAAAACCATTATTTTAAAAATAGCTTCTTTTAGCAGCATGATTGCCACAATATCAACAGGTGGCCAGTAAGATACAGATGATATTTATTAAGTAAATTACACACAATGTCATGAGAATAAAGAACACAAAGAACTTTGTATCCAACATCCCCATTTTAAGTATTTTACTTTTAAAAGCAAAGTATTGCTTGCTTGAGGAAATGTCGTCCTTTATGTTTGAGAAGTTTAAAGCACGAGTGTGGAGTGTGATGGTTAAGTGAACATTCAAACCTAGAAATCTCAAACTATTGATCAACTGCCTGCAGGGCTGAGAAGATATACTGTTTAGTTAATAGGGTCTTTTTGTGTTAACTTGCTATTGTATCAGGATTTTTATTATGTGGAAACGTAAGCAATCCTTTGACCCTCCTCTGGTCCAGACTCGTATTCTAATCAGGCCTGGTTGTAAAGAAAGATGTTAGTTTGAAGGGACAGTGATGCAGCATTCCAGAGGGATTGAGAGGCCATGTGGGAAAAGCAAACTGAGGTGTTAATCTCAGAAGAGTGACTCCCCTCCCTTCATGTTCCTAATCCCACAGTCTCTGTGGCATCAATGCATTCACTCCCTGACATGAACCGAGGCCTCATCACCAGATACACAAAGGGTTAATTAAAGCTGGTCAGGCTGGAATGCAAGTGGTCGCTTCTTGTTTAGTTTATGTAGATGCTGATTCTCGAGACGTCAGGAAACAAATGTAGGAAAGACTTTGTGCTTCAGTTGGAGAGTGAAAGGAGGAATGACTGAAATGAAGAGGAATTTGTGGATGATGACGTTAAGTTGATTTGGTTTGATAATGTGATGAAAACTTGGGCAAAAAAAGACATGAAATTTATATAATGGTGATACGGCAGCGAAAAAGTGAACAGTTAACAATAAAGATAACATCATTTAGATAACACAGTAACACACATATATGCATCGTTTCCTGTGATTCATTCTATGTGAAGGAATTTAAATCCAGTAACAATGAAGACTACCAATGTCCAGACCAGTGAGTCAGGGCAGTTACACACTTTTTGTTTTACACATTACATTTTAGAGTAAACAATTTGAGTTGCGCCTGTTATCAATTCACACAAACAATTTAAGATGTCACAATGTAAAAACTTTAAAAAGCATTTAAATAATTATATTCATATATGGTCATAGGCAATGTTGTGCTAAAAAAAGATACCACAAATGGCATGGTAAAAAAAGTTTATATGAAAATTACAAGCATCCAAAAACACCCCAAAGTCTCAGCTTTAATTTGAGTAGGTTTAGATAATATACTGTGTTGTATAGACTATACAAGTCTACTGTGTGTGTGTGTGTGTGTGTGTGTGTGTGTGTGTGTGTGTGTGTTTTCTCTCCTCAGCTCATGCTGTGTTGCTGTTGTCAGCAGGTGTGTTGTTGCAGGGACCAAAGATCAGAGAAGCCGAATCACACAGTTTATAAAAGCACAAAGCGTCTGCTAACCACCAGGCTTATGCACACACACGTATACACAAAGGCCCTATCATTAGGCCACACACTAACGGCCTGTGTGTGTCCATGCCTCACTATCACAACCACGTATCTCTAATTATTTAAAAATGGATGCACACACTTGGAGGTAGATCTCCACCTGTGAGACCATCAGGGCCTCCAGCAGGTCACAAGGAACCAAGGTCACAGGTTCACCAGAAAGACGTAAACTTCTTATGGTGTCAGTTATGGTGATGATTAGTAAGAGGAAGAAGCTAGATTGGTTGTTTCTTCACAAATATTGGATGGATTGTGGTGAATCTTGGTACAGACCTTCATGTTCCCCAGGAGATGAATTCCAATGACTCGGGTGATCCCCTGACTTCCCCTCTACCACACACATGAGGTTAATAATCTTGTTCCTGAGGGAAAAAATGTCAACAACTGATGAGTACCTGAGCAAGGTCATCGCGAGATGTACAAAAACCAAGCAGAAAGACAAAGTGTAACCAGGAGTGATTTTATGACAATAAACTGAGCACACACCCTCAAAGGTGCACCGAAGTCAATACCTCCACGAAAAGGTTATGCTATCTTACGTAATGTCGTTAGGATTCCTCATAAAATAATGAACCTATTTCCATAAAATTTGGTGAAGGGGTGAAGCATGACTCAAAAAAAACTTGTTAAATTTTGGAGTGCATTGGATCCAGGGATTTGTTTTTTCCTCTCTTTGACGTGGTGAGATGGAGCGTTTGTCGGAGGTTTGCACTCGCCAAGCAGATATAGGTGGGATAGGCAACTGTCAAATCTTTACCAGTTTTGCACATCTTCTATTCTGAAAAAATGGCAGATCTCCTGTTTCCGCTCTGACCACTTGCTTTCAGCTGCAGCATGTAAAAAGGAAAAGCTATATAAAGCTGAATGTGCACTCACAATTCTGCACCAATCAGCAGACAAGCGCTGGTGGAGATTAGCAGGTGAACACAGTGGAGCAGATAGTAGATTAAAGAAGCTGATATTTCCCTCAGGAGTTAAAACAAAAAGAGTGGAGAACCAAACGGAGCTAAGAGGAGTGAATATTCATGGTTTACATTATTATTATCACACACTTACACTACTTAGCTGTTAAAGTGGGGAGAAACACCCCCCATCCAAACATCTCCCACTCCTCTTTCCCATCCCTGACAATAGAACCCCATCTCTTCCCTCCACACCACTGTCATAAATATCTCAGTTCGGAGGTTGACAGTTCAAGCCTGATTCATTTTCACGCATGTACATATTTGGATTGGATCCCTGTCAAAAACAATTATAATGGTCCCCCCAGGATTTCTAACCCCTTCTCCCTCCTGAGAGGCGTCTGCTGTCAAAACTGCTTGGATGATTTTCCGGAGTCGGGGTGTCCACATCTGTGCCTGATTAGCACAACAATAAGGCCCAGCAACTGCGACTTAATGAGAAGGCATCTTCAGCCCGAGCTTGAGGACCCCACTGACAAAGAAGCTATACAACCTTAACACAAGTATTTTCCTCCAGATCCATTAAGCAGAAACCTGCCACTGCTGCAAAACATTTTTTTTGTAAAGCTATGAAACACGTGGTGATTCTCATCCAGAAAACGCTTCTTTGTGCTCCGACCTGCATGAGAATGTAAACTGGAAAATAAAGGGAGGGCAGACGTGGAACCAGGAGAAATGAAAACATCACCCACCGCCAAATTAGAGGGGAAACCTGGCTCCACAATCTGCTGCATCAATCTTTACTTTTTCATTTAAATAGCAGCTTGTGATGCTCTGTTTTCCTAAAGTCAAATTACCAAAAAACTTTCCCATCTGTGCAGCCTGTTGTTAAGGTCACCTCCCCGAGAGTCTGAAAAGGCTTCTGTGTAAAAGTAGAATAAAATTACACAGGAGATGTACTCAGATGCACAAATATACAGACACACGCTGCATGTTTAAATTCCTGGTGTTTCACTGACGCTGACGGTCCGTGCGGCTCACTGACTGAGAAGAGGTTGACCTTCTCTACAGCTGCTTTCAAACGTGCACTGAACTCCAGACATTTTCCTGAAATGTTCCAGAGGGGCTGTATGTGAGAAATACAAGTCAGTTGCCCCGGACATGTTCTAGAGATTTTCCCACCAGCCCCCACCGCGAGTGGGTGTGTTGATGACGAAATTGATGAAGAATGTAAATATCTCAAAATGGAAAAGAAGTGCCACATGCAGAGACACAAACGAAGATGCAAACTCGGAAAAGAAAATGAGAAACCGGCCAATGCCTGTGTCAATATCCTGTAAACGAAAACGTGATTACTGCAGTGGAATTTATATCATGTCCTGCCTCCTGCATGTTCTACGCAGGCACTATCCCTCACCTGAATGTTCCAGACACTTTCCTGTTGTTGTTAATGCATCCAATTCAGACAATCTCCTGCTGCGTAGAACGAGAATCTGAAAAAATGTCCGTAAATTGTGTGCAGACATTGAAAACGACTGGCTTTTCATCCCACCTTTGATTGTGGCCATTTAGATCATGATCGAACAACACATCATATGTAGGCTACTTGTTTAGAACAATCAAACCATGTTGTCAGGCTGAGGGATAGTGAATGCGCTGTGTTAATGAGAGTCCTCACAAGTATAGAAGTACAAATGTGTGTGGTTGACTATAGTAGAATGATAGGACATCAATACTGTTTAAACTTATTTAATTTCCATTGTTTTTATTTCAGGCAGATTGTTTAACTTTGCGTAGGAGGAGGTTTAATTTGAAACTCTCTTTGAAACACAAATAAAACTCTGAGCTGTTCCTCGTGTCTTTGTCTGGTTGACATTTTTTCCACCCATTTTACACTGCACGCTCTTTGTAATTTTAATATTTAAATGTTCTCATGTCGAATACA